TTTATACTGTACTGCATCACTCCATTTGATTTCCATTCGACTGTGTCTTTCAGTCTTTCGCTTAGGTTACTTGGCCTTCCCGTTAGAACCTTCACGCATATCGCTAGCAACTTGTGCATTACCTTGTCTCCTTCCACTTCAGCTGTACTGCTTTATTCTTATGTCCGATACCCTCGCTGCCTTCGCTTTGTCACCTCTGCTGTCCTTTCGTCTAGTACTCTTTCGCACTGACACTCTGAATCCTGCATCCCGTCCATGACCTACCCCTTTCTCCCCGCGTACTCCGGACATCTTCTCTCTCCTGCCACACAGTGCTGACGACAGGATGTCAGCAGGGTGTCCACCCCCTACTGCGCCATATGACGTCCTGTTCTTTCTTTGGGCTGCTTGTCTGTTTTCTTTGCGATACAGTCACCTATTCTAGTCTTGCCGTGGTGGCGCTCTCTCGCGCGTCGCTGATGCCGTAGAGGTCATCAAACTCGGTGATGTCTGTCATGACGCTGGCTCGGTTGTTCCACGGGTTCGAGGTGGTCGTCGGGGACAGAGGCTCCTCGACCGAGTCGTTGGAGGGAGATGATGGGAGGATGGGGGCCGACATGAAGTGAAAGCCCCTAGGCGTGGGGAAGTGGTCGCTCATGGGGGAGAGCCAGGCCTCGATCTGAACGTTGGCGGGGGGTTGAAGCTTGCGGCCGTCGCGTTGTCGTTGGTTCTGGCGCTGCTGGAGCGGGTGCCATTGCTGGCCGTCCTCGTTCTCCTCCTCGATTATAGTATTAAGCAACCTCCCTGGCCTTCGACCCTGCGAGGGCGAAGGAGGCTGATATGTGGATGTGGGCAGGAGTACCAGCTCTGCCATGGTTGCGTCGGGCTGTGTATTGGTGGATGCGGTCTGAGATGCTGATGCTCCGGGAAGCTGGTGCTCTGGGAGGCTGATGCTCCGGGAAGCTGGTGCTTTGGGAAGCTGGTGCAAAACAAGACGGCGATGCAAACCCGAGTGTCGATTGGCTGGAAGTGATCGTAAATATAGGTATAGGATGAAGAAGAAGGCGCAGCAGGAAGAGACGCGCAGCGTCAGCCGCCTGCTCTGGTCAAGAAGGGGAAGGGGGAAAAGCACGGTATCGAATGGAAACAACAGGGCCTTGATAAACGACAGGCTGCCTCGGTCAACGAAGCTTTCTATGAAGTTGATTTGGCACGAATAGAAACTCAACTCTGAGAGTATGGTTGAAAGAAAACAAAAAAAGCACAGAGTGGACGAGAAGGAAGGTAAGGTCGATCATCGGGCCATCCAAGGGAAAGGCTGAATGGGGGGGGGAGACGTAGCGTCTTATTGAAGCAAGAGGTGCACTCTCTCGAGCGAGCATGGTGAGCGGCTAGATGAACAGCAAGCGGCTGCATGCTGCAGGCGAGCGGAAAAGGCCTGGCAGATGGTGCCTTGGTGTTCCTTGAAGTGTGACAAGCCAAGCGGCGGGTGGTGCGTGGGCACACGATGGGCCTTCTTTCCTGGCCCTCTTCGAGACATCCACGTCGGCGTCGCAAAGCCCATGCTCATGCTCGGCGCGTCAAACCAATGAGGATGGAAAGCGGCTGCATGTCATCTGCTGGGACGACGAGCATCGGGCCAGTCAAGGTTGTGAGATGGCCTAGATGGCGCGCGCATAACGACATGGAGGTGTGGTGGAGGGTCGAGGGTCAGGAAAGGGCAGAAGAAGTCCGGATCGGGCAATGGGGAGGGCAAGGAGGGGTCCGACTCGTGTGGCGCACCGGCCAATGAGGGCGACGCGTGCCTCGTCCGGCGCTTAACTCGACGCAGCCCTTGTCATTGGTGCGCTCTGCATTGCTCTCATTCTCTGCATTGCTCTACCCCACCGTGGCTGGATTCAGCCCCAACTGTGGCTGACTGTGGGACACGGAGGGAGAAGGCATCGTCTCCATTGAGGGTTCTAACCATTGGTTATACGTACCTATCTACGCACACCCGACATGTTCCACTTGATACATCATGTATGAAATAGGCGGTATGCATCTGCAAAGACTGCCTTATGGAGCCGAGGGCCACGTTGCAACAAATACTCTCTTCTCAAACCCGTTCACTCGTAGGACCGGTAGCTCAGGGGTAGAGCGTGCGATTGCAGTATTGCAACATTATCGCAATGTCAGTGGTTCAAATCCGCTTCGGTCCTATATCTTTGACCTTGGATCCCTCCTTTTCTCTCTCTCTCTCTCTCTTTTTTTTTTTGTTCGGAAACTTGTTCGACCACATGACAAAACCCTCAGGACGAGCGAGACATGAAGATACGAGTGCATAAGTGTCCCCCGTTCGGAGGCGTCCCTATTCTTCTCTCCAACTTGATCTCCGATGAACGAGAAGTACTCTGTCTCAGGATCACAAAGATGCGAGTTCAACAACTCGTCCGTGTTGCCTACATGAAGCAGCTGCCGCGTCTTGCTTATTCATCAACTAGGACTGGTAGCTCAGGGGTAGAGCGTGCGATTGCAGATCGCAATGTCAGTGGTTCGAATCCGCTTCAGTCCTATCTTTTTTGTTTCGTCGTCACGCACTCCACACCAGTGACATTGATTTCCAGGGCGCCTGATGATGTAGACTCCCGCCGATGGGCGGCTACTGAAGTGCCTCGGTGCCGCCCCGAGTAAAGCCATCCAGTTAGCTAAGCAGACGAGGCGGTGCAAGCTCCTACGCCTCAGGAACCCCGCCATCCTGTTGCTCCCAGGTACGGTACCAAAGCAAAACCACCCCGCAGTCGCTCCGCCAGAGGCCTGCTGCGTCTGTTGTCGGAAACCAAGCTGCGAACCACGCGTTCGTTCTGCACAACCTCACCAATTCCGCTGTCCCAAGCTCTCAATCACCAACACCAACCTTTCATTCTTCAGTCCTACCATATACCCCCTGACACCCGCTCTTATGGCCGATACGGAGCAAGCCGATTTTGAGCCCCAGAGCCGTCACGTCACATATTGTGGTGGTAAGAATGGAACCCCTCTCGTCCTCCCATTTACCCCTCCAAGATCGACGTCACAAGCTTTGCGTGAAAACTAACCACACCTTTGTCCGCAGTCTGCACTCTCCCCCCCGAGGTACGATCCCAACAGCTCTCTCTCTCTCTCCCTCCCACATATACCCCATGGCACATACGCACGCAAGTTCCTGTGTGCATGGGGAAAAGACCCAAAGATGAAAAAAAAAAAATCCCCCCAAAGCAAGTCCATTGAAACCTGACCCGTACAACGCCAACACGCGTAGTTTTGCGAATATGGCGGCACGGTAAAGAAGTGCCAGGAGTGGCTCGAGAAGAACGAGCGCCCGCTCTACGACAAGATCTGGTCGCCCGAGGCCCTCGAGGCGGCGACGGCGTCCCTGTCCGTCGAGGCGCAGAAGCGCGCCGCCAAAGACGCCCAGAAGAAGGCCGCCAAGGCCGAGGCCGCCGAGGCCAAGCAGGCCGACCGCCTCGCCAACAGCACCATCACCATCAAGCGCATCGAGCGCAACAAGAAGAAGTTTGTCACGGCCGTCATCGGCCTCGAGGCCTTTGGCCTCGACCTCAAAAAGGTCGCCAAGGACCTCGGCAAGAAGTTCGCCACCGGCTCCTCCGTCAGCAAGCTGCCCAGCGGCGGCTCCGAGATTGTCGTCCAGGGCGACGTCAGCGACGAGATTGAGGAGTTCCTGCTCGAGAAGTACAAGGAGATACCCGAGGACAACATTGAGCTGGTCGACGACAAGAAGCTGAAGAAGAAGGCCGCCCAGGCCGCCGCCGCTGCTGCGGGGGCCGCTGGCAGCAGTTAGCTGAGACGGCGCCGGGGGGGAGGAAACTGTCATGTGCTCATGAGAAAACAAGAAACGCCTTTGCATTTGGGAAGCCGCTGATGAGCGGGTGTGCAAGCGACTGCCAAATAAACTGCATAGCCTCTCCATGCCAATCCCTTGTGTGTTGCTCCGCATTGTCATTCGTGAAACCCAAAAGAACGCCCCAGCCGTCAGTGCCGTATTGCACACCCAGAAAACTTTCGAGTGAGCCCTTGTGACCAGGCAAAACAAAATCATCCGTACCTCATGCTCATGGTACATTACGTGCTTCAACATGGACCGGCTAGCCCCGCTTCCGGAGCACTCTGGTAGACCCTGCCGTGGATGCCGCCGTAGCCTTGGATGCCGCAGCCGCAGCCGTGGCAGTAGCAGCTGCCTTCTTCGCGGTGCTGGCGGCGACGCCCTTCCTGATGGTCCCCATGACCGTTCGCTTCGCCCCTGTGGCCGCCGTGGCTTTGGCGGCGGCGGGCTTCTTGACAACCGTTGCCGTGCTTCCGTCGCTCGACTCGCTGACCCGCCGACCGGTGCGGGTAGCTGGCCGTACCTGGGGGGGTTTACTGGCCGCAGGAGCGGCTCGTCTTGTTCGCGACGCAGCTGGGGCTGGGGCTGAGGCTGCAGCAGGGGCTGCTGAGGCGGAGCTCGTCGTGGAGGAGGTCGTCGTCTTGCGGGTAGGGGCTGAGCGAGCGGCTTTCGCCCTCTCGACCATGTTCGTCAGGGCAGACCGTGCCGTCGTGGGCGCTTTCGTGGGCGAGGCGGGCCTCGAGAAGGCAGGCTTGGCCGGCGAGGCCATTGTGCGCTCACGCGGGAGGTAGCGAGCATTGGTCGACGTGGGCGAGAGTATCTGGGCCGCCTCGGGGATCGTCGAAATGTGAGCGGGGCCACCGCGGTGCTTCTTCTTGGGGTTGTCGATTCCTTGGTTCTCCTTGTCACCTGCCATGTCCTCACTGGCAGAGGTCAGCGATGATGATGAGCGACGGGCCAGGTGTGAACACTAACCTCAGCCGTTTCCTGGGGCGCGATGCGGGTTGTGACGCGTTGACTGTCTTGGCCGGGCTGGCCCTGGGAGGAAAGTCCTTCTCGGGCACGGGCGGCGGACGCGCAGCCGCGGCAAGCTTCTTCTGCTGCTCGGCGCACTTGGCGACCAGGTCCTGCATGGTGGACTTGAGAAGCGATCTGGGGATCCTGTTGACGCGCATTTCGACTCGCGATCGCAGGCTCTGTGCTTGAGCATGATACTGGGCGCGCAACCGTCTCGCGCGATCTGTGACTGGTAGGCGTGTCAGTGTCTACGCGTCTCGATACTTGCCACCCACAGGTCTGGACATGACATACTCTCAAGCTGCAGGTTCTCGATCAAGGCCTGCTTTTGTTCAAGCGTGATGCCCTTCCTCTTCTTGATCGGGCTCTTGCGTATCGGCGTTGCTGCCGTCTTTGTAGGGATCATGTGTCTGTCGGGGGACGTGGCATGCTGCGCTGGAGAGTCGCCTGACACGCGTTTGTTCGCTCGGACTGGCGCCATTCTGCTTTATTCGGATGGCGTGTCGGACTCGATAGTGCAAAGATCGTGCATTCGGGAGACGAAAGGTAGAAAGGTCGTATTGATATGTGGAAGCGCCGATGATGGAGGATCGGCTCGTGAGTGGACGGAGCTGGTGTATGGGTGTAAACAAACCTGGGAGACGGGACCTGGAGGTCGCCTTACGTAAGGAAGGCCAGGCTTCCCAAAGGACATGGCCCTTGCGTGGGTACCAAGGTACCTAGGTACTTGTGCACGTAGATGGAGCAGGTGGACCTTCCTTCAACCAACCAATGGATGACCGCTAGGCTGAACTGCCTTACGACAGACGGGACAGGAGCTCTCGTCGTGAAGCTGGCTGTACATCATCCACGCCCACTGCAGCTTTCTAGACCAGCACTGGCCATCGCAACCTGCGCAACGTCATCCCAACTGTCGACAACACACAGAATCGCGCACCATTGCAAGCCCCATCCTCCGACCATCACACATCCCTTCTGTTCGACACGCCCGCCTTCCCTTTCCTACGACTCAGCCGGAGCACCGCCGCCCAAGATGGTTCTCGAAGCGGTCATGGTTGTCGTCGACAACAGCGAGAGCAGCCGCAACGGCGACTACCAACCTACACGGTTCGACTCGCAGGCCGATGCCGCCAACGTGATCTTCCAGACCATCACGAACAGCAACCCCGAGTCGTCTGTGGGGTTGATGAGCATGGGCGGCAAGGGCCCCGAGGTCCTCGTCACGCTCACCACGGAACAGGGCAAGATTCTCGAGGGCCTCCATCGCACTAAGAACAAGATCAAGGGGTCCTCGCACCTTGCTACAGGAATCCAGGTCGCCGGTGTACGTTCAAAGCCCTCACCCTATTTCCGCGGGATACTCTGCAACAGTCCATGGTTGACTAATCACTCCCTCCCCTTCGCGCGCAGCTGGCTCTCAAGCACCGTCAAAACAAGTCGCAACGTCAACGGATAATCGTCTTTGTCTGCTCGCCGATTGAGGAGGAGGAGAAGAAGCTGGTGCAGCTCGCCAAGAAGATGAAGAAGGGCAACGTCTCGGTCGACTTTGTGCTCTTTGGCGCCCACGACGACGACGAGACCCAGCAGAAGCTGCAGGCCTTCAACGAGAACGTCAAGGGAGGCGAGGGCTCACATCTGGTCGTCATCCCCCCGAGCGCCAAGCTGCTCAGCGACCAGCTCATCTCGTCCCCGATATTGCTCGGCGAGGGCGCCGGCAACGGTGGCGGCAGCGGCGGAGGCGGCGCGGGTGGTGGCGGCGACGGCGGCGGCGACTTTGACGGCCTCGACTTTGACCCGTCCATGGACCCCGAGCTCGCGCTGGCCCTGCGCATGAGCATGGAGGAGGAGAAGGCGCGGCAGGAGAAGAAGGCACGCGAGGATGCCGAGGCTGCCCAGAAGGCTTCGCTGGACGACATCAAGGAGGATGGCGAGTCGGCCCCGCTGCTGGGCGAGGCGAGCGGCAGCAGCGACAAGAAGGACAAGAAGGACGACGATAAGATGGACACGTCATAGACTCCCCAAGGCCGCGAGCGTGTTCATCCTTGGAGCCTTAGATCCGAGTGTGTAGTAACAATAACAGACAATACCAGGGTTTAGACGGCCTGCCGACATGGTTTCTCTCAGAGGCATGCAGATGATGCTGCCGCCAACATGTGTTGCATCTCACGCTCTCATTCGTGTGGTTTCAAAACTGATTCTGTCCATTACGCTATCACCTATTGTTGATTTCTCTCATGTACGACAGCAGCTTCCTGTCGAAAATCTCGCAACGGACGGGCATCTCCAGCTGGTAAAAGGGGTTCTTCATGACATAGTCGCTGTACAGGTCGTAGATCTTGCGCATCGTCACGTCGACGTTGACCTGTGTCGTGTCGGTGAAGAGCAGGAACTTGGTCCCCGTCAACGTGTTGAAGCACTGGAGCCGGAAGTTCTCCGTCTCCATGACCTCGAGGCCCGACGGCGGCTCTGGCCGGCTCGGTATGCTTCCGGGGACGGTGGATATGCGGTTGGGTTGGGTCTTGATGGGATCCAGGCGGGCTGTGATGGCGTGGACGCTGGAAAGGGGGTGGGAAGTGTCAGCACGGCGTGGCCCGGACTGAAAGGGGGGCGATGCGCAGCTCTCACCCATGGAATGTGCCCGCTAGAACGAGGTAGTCATTCGTGCTGAGTTGGTTGAGCCCACCCTCGTGAAAGGTCCGGTGAAAGATGAGACCGCCGGCCTTGTTGATGATGATGACGGCGAAGACAGTCCTGTGAGCCGATGAGCATGTGGGCAATGGAGGCGGAGAGATGGTATACTTACATGGTTCGTCTTCGGCTCCTGCGGTATTATGAGAAGTATTATGAGAAGGTTGATTTGATCGTCATTTGTCTGCTTAGACGTCCAATCTCATGGTGTTATCATACGTGGCCAGCACAATACCGTTATGTCGGATTTCGAGACGAGATGAGGCCGAGTATAGGTAGGTAGCTGGTGAGCACGGGTGAAGCGCGGGCGGATGGCCCACTGTCGAGACGTGCCTCAGAGCGACCTCCCCCAAGACAGCTTTGACCCACCCCCCCCCCCAGGCGCCAGGTACCTTCTAGCGTGTTTGGTCCAAGGACATCCAGGTCCGTGCATGATAGTGGGAATCGACATTCAGTCTTCCATAATCTTTCAGCCTCATTCACGACGGGCACGACAAGTCATCTTCCACCTACTCATCCCCCCGCCATCAGCAAGTACAACAATCATTTCTCGACCACCAACGCAACCGAACGCGAGCCATACGACACGAATTTTATTGGCCCCTGTCAGCACGACCCTCCACCACCTCGCGACGGCGCGACAAGGCTACCAACCTCATCGCAGCACCGCCCCTCCAACATGGCCGACCAAGGCGACTCGACACTGATCCCGCCCCGGAAGCAGGAGCGCAAGCGCTTCAAGCCCACCTCGCGCCCCCGGCCCCCCATCCCCGGCCAGGAGAAGGCCGAAGCCGTGCTCGAGCTGGGCGAGTTCCAGGAGGTCGACACCCTGACCCTCTCCGAGGCCTCGCTCGTCATCAACGCCCTCGTCACCAAGCGCCGGATGGATCGCAAGAACGTCAACGAGACCGAGTACGCCATGTGTTCCTTCCCCCTCTCCCCTTCGTTACCGCACTCCCTCTTCTGCCGTCCCAGCAGGAAGCCTTGAATGACCCAAAGAAAGAAAGAAAAATACTGACACGCCGTCTCGCTGCAGGATGCTCACGCAGACCCTCAACTACCTAGACGCCTTCTCGCGCTTCCGCCAGAAAGAAAACGTCGAGGCCGTCGAGCGACTGCTCAGCGCCCACAAGCAGCTCGCCAAGTTTGAGCGCGCGCAAATAGGTTCGTTCCTTTTCCCCTTCATCGCAAACTCCCTTGCCTGCCCTTCGCAGGAGAGCGGTTAGTCTGCACCCATCGAACCAGACTGCTGACCGATTTTCAAATCTACGTAGGCTCCCTCTGCTGCGAGACGGCCGAAGAGGCCAAGACGCTCATCCCGTCCCTCCAAGACAAGATCACCGACGAAGACCTCCAGGAGCTTCTCGACGAGATCAGCAAGCTGCAGAGCAGGTGACGTGCCGGACACATGGGCGAGAGTGGGCAGCGGGGTACCTTCCTACCGCACTCTCTAGTAGGAAAAAGAACAAGCCGCTCCCGTGGATGGTGGTCAACGTCGCGGTGGTGCAGGTGCTTTTTCATAGACGGCGACGCGCGGGACAGGCACGGGGATAAAAAGGGACGAGTGCAATGGTAGGCAGCAGTCATCAGGCTGCGCATCGATTCGAGACAATGACTGCATGTTGTTAGGCGTATTACCGGCTCTTTCACCGGACGGGACGGGAGGGATGGAACGAACGGACAGATTGCTTTGTATGTGTTGAATACCCATCCAATTTCTCTTGCCCCTATGAACAGCTCGCTTGAATGTCTTGGTCTTGGATCCTCGCCATGATCTCGTCAAGGCGGTACCCTGACTTCTCGATTCTCTTCGAGGACGAAAGCCGTCAGCCATGCACTTCACACGGGCTGTAGGTTGCAGCGTGGCGGATGTCAGCAGATGACTAGCGCTGCACTGCGACAAAAATGTACATGGAGCCAAAGACGGTATTAATCGTGGAAAGCAGCCGCGGGTATACCCAACGCCAGAAACAGAACCAAAACAAAAGACACTTGATCCCCCGACCCTCAACCCCTTCGAACACCCCACCAAGCCTTGTTGCGACCTCTCCAGATGACATCCAACCCATTAGTGACCAGCAGCCGCATCCCACCGAGACCAACTGTTGACATATCTGTTCTGGTGCCGTTCATCAGGAGTGGCGGACAGGTCTCCTCGCAGGCTGGCCGAGCTGCCCTCACAGAGAGGGTGCATCTGCTCACTCGGGCGGTAGGCCTTGTAGCGCTGCATGCTTTGACGGTTCATCGGGATCTGGACGAGCTTGGGGAGACCGGGCGACACAAGCTCGGCAAATGCGGCTCGCTTGGGTGATCCTTGAAGCTCGGGAGTAGAAGCGTCCGTACGAGAGAACTCGGGGGTCGCGGATCTCGGACGCGAAGGCTCCACAAAGGAGGATTGGGGTTCAAGATCCATCGTGGTGGGAGATGCAAGAGACACAGGACTGATGGGGTCGTTCTTCATACGATGGGATCTGTTGTAAGCGCAGGCGCGGGTGAATCGAGAGTGAGGTTCCTCGTAGTGATCTGAGAATGTGGTCAGCTAACAATTTTGAAAGCTGATGAAATGACGACGGACCTCCAAAGGGGGCAAGAATGCGATTATTCTTAAGTTCCTGGATCATACCAGGAGGAGGGGTGCCAAAGGGCTGGAGTCCGCCCTTGCCATCGAGAGGGTCGTCGTCAGAACTGGTGCCTCCAGCAGTGAGTGACTTTCTGAGCTTCCTGCCTCTCTTGCCGCAAAGGAAGAAGGCGACGATGACGATGAGCATAACAGCGCCCATAGCGCCGAAGATACCGCCCTTGGCTGCAGTAGACAGGCCTCCGTCTCCGCCATCCTCTGCGTCAGTGGTCTTGGTCGGTGCAGAAATGACCGTGGCGAGAGTCGGCCCAGGGGCAACAGAGTTGTCAGGGGCTAAAGTGGGAACTGGCTCGACAGCTGCCCGCGTGGTGGGAGCCTCTTTGCCAGGAGCGCCAACGTTCGTGGTCGTCTCGGCAGCCGGAATCGAGTGGTTGCCAGTCGGAGATGGCTGAAGCGGGGGGGCTTTGGAGGCAATGGTTGTGGGAATCGCCGTGCGTGTAAAAGTAGGCTTTTCTTTGTCCCCTTTTCCACCTCCTTCTTCGCCGTCCTCGCCATCTACGGGCGTGCCGCCCTCGTTGCCACCGGCGGTGCTTCCCTCCTCGCCGGTGACCCTGTCCCTGTCGTCAGGACATCCGGGCAGCTCGCAGGGATCGACCGAGCAACAGCCTGCATAGTGATTAGTGCGGCATCGGTAGAAGGTCAGACCGTTGGAGCATTCAGTGCTCGACTGAGGGGAAGGGCTGCGACGCATGGCGTTGTATTTGGTTGTGGGCTGGTTGAGGGTGATATTGGTGTGCAGCAACAAGCGACGATGGGTAGTTGCATGCCGCTCAGGTCGGTCGTTGCATGTGAAGTGTACAAGCTCTGGAATATTTCCTCCGTTTCGTAGCTTGAGAGGGGACGCGAGAGGAATAGCCGGAGAAAGGAAAGAACAGGAGTGTCGTCTACGTCCAGTATGGGAAGTTACGAAAACCCTTAGAGGACGATGTTGTTGTCAGACTGAGGGGCAGTGAATGATATTAGGTTCCAGGGCTTCGAGTTGGCCTGATCAGAACACTTTGAAGTGCCGTCGATGGGCAAAATAGAAGAAGAGTTGTGGGATGAGAGTCGTATGAGGCTGTTGTGGGAAGCAACAACCTGTTTCTACAGGCAGTCTGGTCGAAGGGTGGAAGGAACGCTGGTTTGTACTGCCCGGGAAGGTGCGGAAGTAGGTACCGTGGTAGAGCAGCACACCGTGTTCCGACTTTGCTTCAAGCGCGTACCTACCTTAGGTAGCTACCTAGGCAGATTGCTGTGACAAGCACATAGAAGCGTGGCATGCGTCCTAGAGAGCTGATGGACCACGTACCAGCTAGTTAAACGCGCCCAAGTCGGCATTCAACGAGATGATAACCCGCTAAGTTCGCCAGCAAATGAGTGTGACATTTTTCATCACCACCTTGGACGGTATTGCCATATACAGCGCTATGACAGCAGCAAATATGCATTATTGCCGTTCATTGACGAGCGAGCAACATGTTTGTCTCCTTACCTCGCAGCTCACTACGAGCAGGGCACGTCCAACTACCTTGCCAGGGCAACAACTCTCCTGAGCGTTCAAGTGTCACTCTCGTACACCATGTCTCATGTAGCATTGCACCGAAACGACGATTGACAGCTCAGCTCATCCAATGGCTCGTCACAAACTCGATCCACCGGGAGACCACACGACGAGTGACGCTGGCTGGGCTCCTGTCAGGACGTACGCACCTGGAGAGGCATCACAGGCCGCACCAAAACAAAAGCAGGACGATCGCGCCGTGAGATGATACAGTGACATAATAAGGGGGGGGGTATCCGTGTCACCCACAAGACTCTATTCGAGTGGCTGATTGCCATTTGCCGCGACAAGGTCCTTTGGCTTGTCCTCAATACATACACATTTTTACCAAACCAACAAACTGCGCCAGCCGTCGTCCCCACAACGCAACAACGCCTTCCTTACAAGTTTTCCAGCAGCAGTCTGGTGCCAGAGTTGCCTACTGGCCTCTCGGGCTTGGCGCCGCCCTTCTTTGCCTTTTTGGCCTTCTTGTCACCCTTGTCGCTGTCCTCCTCCGCCGCGTCGGCCTCGCGCCTGGCCTTCTGCTCCGCCGTCTCTTCCGTCGCGGCAGCCTGCAGCTGCTTCTTGCTCTTCTTGAGCGTCGCCTTGAGCTCCTTGCCGTGGCTAAAGTCGGGGCTCTCGAGAAGCGCGAGCACCACGAGCGAGCTGGGGCCCGTGGCCCACTGAACGACGTGGTCCTCGATGACGGGGTACAGCGCGTCGGCAAACTTGAGCGGGGGCTCGACCTGCTCCACCTTGCCCGTCTGCTTGTTGTACTTGCCGCCGGCGATGAGCGTCTTGAGCGCGCGGCCGCCCCAGGCCGTCTGCGACACGTGGGCCTGCTGCGCGACGTGGTTGTCGAGCTCCATGGGCTCGGCGGTGGGGTCGCCCTCGGCGACGGCGGCGACGGCCTCGAGCGCCTTCGTCTTGTCGCCCCCGACGGACAGGAGGACCTCGGTGACGATGTGGCAGCCGAACGAGTCGGCCAGCAGCGTCGGGGCGGCGGCGACAATGGTGCGGAGGAGGGATGGTGCCAGGACGGCTGCCAACTCTGCGCGTCGAATGTCATCGTCCTTCTTACTCGTCGTCTTGCGGATCTCGTGCACCTCCTGGAGGATGGCCTTGTCGTCGCTCATGTTGGAGAGGAACAGGGCCTTGGACTGACCCTCGATGGGGTACATCAGCGTTGCCCGGGCGTACTGGTTGTTCATGGACGCGATGATGTTCTCGGCGACCTTTTCTTCGTCGTCGCCGATGAGTTCAGAGAAGATGACCTTGGACGTCATCTTTGTGTCGTCAATCACGTCAAACGCCGTGAGGATGACCATGTGGGCATTGGCGTCGCCGGACATGAGGACAAAGTTGTCCTTGTAGACCTTGAGGATGTTCCTTCGGTCCTTGGAGGAACCGTGGGCGAGGAGGAGGCACGCGAGACGCGAGCCGGAGCGGGTAAAGGCCATGTTCTTGAAGAGGTCGCCGCTCTCGTCGTCGCGGAGCAGGTCGAGGAAGGCCGTGTGCTCGTCGCTGCCAGGCTTGATGTTGAGGAAATACTGCAGCATGGCGTCGTGGAGCATGGTGAAACCGGTCATCTTCTTCTGCACCAGCGAGTTGATCATGTCGCACAGCGTCTTCATGATGGGCCCCCTCTTGCTGGGGGACTCGTCGAGAATGACGGCGAGGTCCGAGGTCGGCTTCTCGTCCTTGTTGCGCTCGAGCAGGGCAAACTCGGGGCCGTACCACTCGCGCAGGAGGATGGCCTTCTGCTCCTTGCTGGCGACCTGGCGGTAAATGTCGTCGAGGATCCACGAGGCCTCGGGGTGGTTGATGAGACGGCGAACCCTGCCGTAGAACTCGGGGATGATCATGTCCCTGATCTCGGGCTCCTTCTGGACGACGAGCTTGGCGATGAGGAACTTGGCGTATCGGCTCTCGGCGAGCTGGGAGAAGGTGCCCTGGAGCTCGGTGCAAATCTGCTTCCTCTGGGCGGCGTTGGAGTACTTGATGGCCGTCTGCACGGCGCGCACGGCGTCGTGCTTGAGGACAAAGTCCTTGACGCGGCCGGTGATGATGGTGAAGAGCTCCTCGAGCAGCTGTTTCCTCTCCTCCGAGGGGACGTGGGACTTTCTCCTCAGGCGCTCCCAGATCTTCTTGGTCCGTTGGACTTCATCGCCGAGAGGCTTGGCAGCCTTGCGCTCGCGGGCCAGCTTCTTCTGGAGAGCGTGGGCCTCCTTGGAAGATTCCGCTGGTGGTCAGTTAGCAATGTTGTCTCTCTTGTGTGTTGGGAGGGCGTGGTGGGCGTACTGATGACGGGCTTTCCGACGCCAGTGATGTTGTCGGCCTTGGCCTTGGCGCCGGCGTCGTACTTCTTCTTCTGCGGGGGCGATTGCTCGAGTTTGGCGCCGCCGTCAGACTCGTCGTCGTCGATGCCGTCAAAGTCGTCGCTGCTGTCGGCGGGGCTCTCGACGGGGGCAGCCTTCTTCTTCTTGGGGGCGTCCGTCTTGACCTTCTTGGCCGACTTGTCGGAGGTGGCCTTGCCCATGGGGCCAGCCTTTCGCTTGCTTCCGGTGGCGGCAGCCTTGGTCGCCATTTTGATCTCAAACAAGGAGCGGTTGAGGTGGCTTTTCGATCGAGGGCGAAGAGGGGGGGGGATTCTGAAGATCGTTGATACCAGCGGGAGGCAGTCCTTGTCCTTCAAACCCGCTGCGAGCAGACTCGATGGGGGGGAGACCGACTGGAGACGGAGACGGAGACGGAGACGGGCGTCTGGGGACCAAATTTTTTGTTCAATTGCCGGGCGGTGAGCGCTGCGCTAGCCATTTCTGGTCACCCCCTCCAGCGATAAGAACCAAAAGTGATAAGTGGAAAGCGCAGAGAGACAGGATGCAGCGTCGTGTAGAAATAGACAGTGTCGTGATGGAAGGGTATGGTCGGATGGACATTGTATTTATTGGTCTCTGCATTGCTAATACACTGTTGAGACATCATTTCCCAGTATGGGCCAATTTGGAGCGATGCAGCCGTCTTTTCATCACACACCTCAGTTTGGTCACTTGCTGCGGCGGTCGTCCCTGCCCTGTGAAAAAGAGGCACTCACTATGAGTAGGCACTGCCCATACACTGATGCCGCCCAGAAGAAGATGTACGACTGAGATGGCCTTGGCCAGACCAACTCGTCTTTTGCAATGGCAGAACAGAAAAATCCAATGCGTATTGATACAGTCTCTCGGAGTAGACAAGATGATTCATTTGAGCGAGCAAGTGACGTGCAATCAGAGTTGCTGAGCTGACCGACACATTATGATGGACCCAAAGAGGGGCTCACCCTGTGTGCGATCATCAGCACCCGACCACGACCGACTCGACTCCAGCGAGGAGCAACGGCGTCTCTTCGAACCCAGCAGACTCAATCCCCCCATCATATCCTCCCATCCCCAGCTGCGGCTCGTTACCAGACCCCCAACACGGCGTCAGAGCAACTGGCCCAAGCATCACCATGGGCCGCGAAGAACAGGTCGAGGAGCGCGAGGTGCTCGAGTCCATCTTTCCCGAAGAAATCACAGGTCAGCTACCCCGCCATGACGACCCATGGCCTGCGCCCTCTCTTCTCGAGGCCACAACATGCGACGCCGCAGCTGCTCCAGGGGCGCGGCTGCGCAGCTGGCGCAAGGCCACGCAGGTAGTGACACGTGCTGACCCTTCCCCCCCTTCTTGTCCGACAGACATCTCCGAGACGGAATTCAGGATAAAGGTCGTCCTCGACGTCGTCGGCGAGGAGGACGCCCCCGAACCCCCGACCATGCTCCTCCACGTCCGCTACCCCGAGGCCTACCCCGACGAGGCCCCCTTTCTCGACCTCAACCCGGAGCAGCAGGCCGGCGCGCCGCACCCGCACTTCTCCGTCGCCGACGACAAGGCGGCGCTGCTGGCGTCCCTCGGCGAGACGGTCGAGGAGAACCTCGGCGTCGCCATGGTCTTCTCGCTGTACGCCACCCTCAAGGACGCCGCCGAGCAGCTCATTGCCGACCGCAAGGCCGCCGTCGAGCGCCGCCGCGAGGAGGCCGTCATGGCGGCCGAGCGCGAGGAGAACAAGAAGTTCCAGGGCACCCCCGTCACGCCCGAGACGTTTCTGCGCTGGCGCGACGATTTCCGGCGCGAGATGGACGAGGCCCGCCTGCAGCTGGAGGAGGAGAGGCTGGCCGAGCTGAAAAAGGCAAAGGTCAAGGAGCCCGTCAGGATGACGGGCAGGCAGCTCTGGGAGGGCGGCCTCGTCGGCAAGGTGACGTATGACGAGGGCGATGACGAGGACGGCGGTCTGACCGAGGGCGTGGAGAAGCTCAAGGTGGAGGCGGCGTAGCCAGTTTTTGTGCATCAATGCAATAGAGAAAAAAAAAACCCCCCCGGCGTTTTGGATACCTGGTGATGATGATGAGAATGCAGAGAAAGGAAGAGGACAAAAAAACGCCAGAAGATTGGGTTGCGTTTCAGTGATCTATTTGCGAGAGACTCTATCGTTTTGACGATGCAGCAGCACCTGCCGTCATGACTCGCTGCTAATGTGTGTGTGTGTGTGTGTGTGTGTGTGTGTGTGTGTGTGTGTGCTGCTTGTTTATAGTCATCTTTTGAACGCCCCGACTCCCCCTGATCATCCCAGAGACAACTCTGCACGGCCACTCCTTTATGTATTTTTATTTCCCCGAACGCTGGCAGACTCAGCCCGCCATCTCCTGATCCTCCTCCTCGTCATCGCTGTCGTCCTCCCACACCTCGTCCGCCTCGTTCTCTGCCGCGGGGCCGAGCTCCTTGGTGATGGCCTCGAGCAGCTGCCTCGCGTGCTCGCCGAGCTTCTCGTCCTCGTACTCCTGCTGCTCGTAGAGCTTGAGGCAGACGGTCAGCCATTGGCGCGCTGACCGCCACACGGCGCGCCAGTCGTCATCCTCGTCGGCGCCGGCGGCCGCCGCCGTCGTCGTCGTCGACTTGGTGCCCTCGGCCTCGTCTTGCTTCAGCTTGTCGCCCGAGATGTACTGGCCCCAGCCGCCGAGGTACCAGGCCTCGACGCTCTCGTCGTCGTCGCCGACGAGCTTCTCGAGCACCTCGATGCTCTCCTCCTCCATGTCGACCTCGAGCAGCAGCCGCGCGAGGCTGACGCGCGTCGGAAAGTCGGGCACGTCCGGGTGGGTGACGGGCAGGCCGCGCCAGATGTCGAGGCTGCGAGCGAGGGCGGCGCGGGCCTCGTCCGTCTTGTGCTGCGAGATGCGCACGTTGGCGACCGTCTGCCAGGCCTCGGCGAGGCCGGGGGCCACGAGCGTCGCCCTCGGGTGACGAGCGCCTCGCAGCGCTGCTCGGCGTCGGCCTCCCCACGACAGGTCCGTCATGTACACCCTCGGCGACGCCGCACAGCGTGCCGGCGAGCCGCCGCTTGCGCGCCTCGAGCAGCGCCTCCTGCTCCGCCGTCCGCCGCCCCGCCGTCTCGTCGAGCGCCCGGATCTGCGCCCGCAGCGCCGCCGCGCCCCGCTCGAACCACCGCACGCTGTCCTGGCCGCCGTCCTCGCTGAGCTGCGCCAGCCACAGAAACTTCTCCGGCCCGCCGCCGCGCGCCTCGTCCGCCGACCCGTCGCTGTCGAGCGCCACGGCCCGTGTGAACGCCGCCCGCGCGTCGTCAATCTCGCCGGCCTCGACGTAGATCTGCCCGATCATGTTGGTGCAGAGCAGCTCGAGCTCGCCGCCGGGGCCCGTCGCCTGGAGAGCCGCCGTCGCCGCGCCGAGGGCGTTCTCGAGGTCGCCCTCCTCGAGCTTGGCCGACGCTGCCTCGAGCAGCACCTTGGGGTCCATCTTCTTGGCGTCGGTTGCTTGCTGCTGCTTCTTGTTCTTCTTGCTGGGTCGTGTGGGCGCCATGCTATACACGGCAAATGTGTGAGTCTTGCGGTCGGTGAAAAGGGGCCGTGAAAGATGGGCCTTCTTGACTGACTAGGTATGTGAAAGAAGACAGAACACTCCGCCGGTTGCTGCTGCTGCTGCTGCTACTACTGCGTTGGTCGCTGGCCGTGGTGGTGACGACGGCGGGCCTCTGCTGGACCTGTTGCAAAGAAAAATTCTTATCGCATCTTATCGCGCCTTCTTCGAGTCTGGCGGGGGTTCTGCGGGGTAGGTAGCTTGGAAGGTACACAGTACCTAGGTACCTACCTGAGGCAAGGTACTTAGATCGTGATCACTGCCCGACCTCATTGATTTGTTGACCTCCTGTCCCCTCCTGCTAAGAAGTTCCTATACCGATTGAAACAACATCCACATGCCGACACGCCATGTTCATTGAGTCGTGAATTAAGTAGCTATTTGTTTCTATGGCCGTTACTGTTGCCATGTTGCTGGAATGAATCAACGTCACTCGAAAACTCTCCACCCTGTCCATGTCGCTTCGCTGCCCGCGGAATATAGCAAAAGAATCAGACTGGCCGCCCCGTCAGATACGTCGGCCAATGCGGCCATGTGTTTTTGTGCGCCGTCGCCAGCTTGCAAGACTCGAAGAGTTGGTCCAGGGTCTGACCGCTGGCCACCGAAGCCCTGTTGTCCCCCTGTCCCCCTTCCATAGTCTACCCCTTGGGACGCCCTGTGCCTCCTGGGACCCAGGACTTCTGGCGAGCCTCCTCGCTGCTGCTGGCCACCGTCGCCCCACCGACCGGTTGCCCTGTCGATTGTTCTGTGATAGAAACATACAAGTAAGGAAATCGTAATTATATTTTGTCTGGCAGTTCATATCGCCCGTTCATCTCGTGAGCTGCGGCTCGAGGCGCCCCTCTCGTCGACGAGTTCCGCCGATGCGCCCAGCAGGTCCACGTGGTTCTGCTGGTCTGGATCGATTCTGCTGATATTGTGTTGTGGCACGTAACCGAAACTTGTCGGTCGATCGTCGGGAGATCCGCTCAAGTCGATTTGGCTGAGATCGCTAGCATCCATCGACGAGCCCGAGAGGCGTCGTCGTTGCGATTCCGTCCTTGTAAAGGGCAGTCGATTGGGGGATGTATCGACTGCTTCGTGTCGCGGCTGGCCACGAGACGGAGATGTCGGCGGGACTAGGTTAAAGGAGGGTGTGGGGGAGTGGTCGAATTCGGCCTGCGAATGGCGTTTCGAGCTTTTCCGGGGGATGTCGGGCGTCTCAGACTCAGGGCCGACGCCAAGGTTCCTCGGCTTCTGTCTCTGGGATGGCTGTCGGCTAGCTTGCGACGGGATTCGGCTGGGCAGGTGGAAACTGTCGCCGTAATCCAGCCCTGGCAGCGCAGGAGGCGCATCTGGTAACCTCGATCGGTCCGACACTGTCTCCTCCGAGCTTCGTCGTCCCTCGTCTCCCGTCAACAAATCGTCTTGTGGCGCCGCAGCCTTCGTTGGTGTCTTCTTCTGATCCTTCGTCGGTGCAGCAGCAGCAGCATCGTCAGAATCATCATCAGAATCGATAGGTCCGTTCCTCAGTACACCCATGGCCACTGGAATTCCTTCAGGGGGAGGATTGTCACTGAACTCGCCACCGGGAGCACGCATCGAGGTTGGCATGCGTGCGCTGCGGACAACCTCGAATCCTTTGCCCTTCTCCTTTGTCTTGCCGCCGAGCATCGTCCTGAGCCAGCCGGCTGCAGAGGCCATGGGACCAGTCGGGTCCGCAGGCCCCGTGCCGAGCCTGCGACCTGGAGCCTCCGAGTTCAGCGCTGGTCCGCGAACGCCGTAGTAGAAATCGACTTCTCGTGTTGCATAGTCCGCGCGTGGGAGCAGGCTGATGGGGACCTGAGAGGGGGCCGCACCAGGCTCTGCCTGATCCGCGGGTAAGGCGTCGGCCAGGTCGCCGCTATCAGCTGGCTGTGGCGCAAGCTGACTATATCGTCTCGAGTCAGCAATGGAAGCGCGGCGTCTGTCGGACATGATGGATCCCGTCAGAGTGTCGCCGCGGCGCCGAGGTGGCCGGTAGTAGGGGTCCGAGGGGTCAGCAATCATAGCCGGCTGAGGGCGGGTGGCTCCGCCGGGCGAGGGTAGGAACGAAAAGGTGCTGGCCTCGCCAGGCGTCGTCGGTGTCAAGTTGCTGCCGCTATCAAAGTTGCGGGGCGGGGCCGAGTACGTGTCGATGCTGTCAAGAACCGAAGAGCTTCGCTGTTGGCTCCTCAGGAGGAACGCGCTCCCCTGAGATTCACTTCGCACTCTCCCGGCGGGTATGTAGCCCGCTTTGGACACTTCGTCGGCATCGAGCATGGCGGTGCTCGAAAGCGTGCTTTGGCGAGATGGCCCGTTGCGACGAGCCATTGTACGTCGCTGCAGTTGGCGCATGCCGAAGATCTTGGCTAGTCCACCTCTGGCCAGGCCACTCTCGCCACCGGCGCCAAGCAGACCGGCGATGACTTCGACGCACGTCTGCAGGGCGTTCAAGAAGAAGCCGAGAACAATGATGCCAGCGTGGATAATCAAAATGGCGTAGCCGATCCAACCCTTGGGGCCTTCCGTGACTCCGAGCTCAGGGATGAAGGGAACCATGAGCATGACGGTGATGAACCTCACAATAGAGAACATGGTGTGGTAGGCGTTCATGAACGTTGCAGGATGGAAGGGACGAAATGCGTGTAGCGTCAAGACTTGCACCACCTCACAGATGGCAAGCAAGACAATCTGAGCGATGCCAAAAGGCTGCACCGCACCAATGGCGATGCCTCGGAAAAAGGTCAGCATGACGGGAACCAAGGCAAACGTGGCCGACTCGTCGGAATACGTGTTGTAGAGTGGCCCGTAGAGGAGCACGGTTGGGAGATCGTCAAAGAGGACCGCCCTCGGCTTCGTCGTGATGATCAGGTAAAGCAGCCAGCATGTGAACCCGATGAGGATGACCAGCGTGATGACAGCCAAGGCGACAGCAAAGTTGGCTGATTCGCCGGCAACGACAAGCTGAAAGGTGGAGAGCGCGACAATGGGCAGCAAGAAGAAGTTGAAGACGACCCGGACAACGTTGCCTATCGAGAAGGGCAAGTTTTTCGCTCGCAGGTCCTCCTCGGTCGTGCTGCTGATCAGTCGGTAGATCCAAAGAACGAAAAAGCCTATCTGGATGAGCACGAGGACGGAGGCAATGATGACCAGCAGCCAGACCATCATGCCTACCCAGATATCCTCGACATCACCCATACCGACCAGGTGCGCAAAGCGCTCCAGACCATGATGACCTTGTGTAACGTAGATGCCGTCTTGGATGGCTGGCCAGCCGGGAGATTTGTCTACAAAACTCTCGTTAAACATCAAGGCTGACCAGCTCGCTTGACTGACGATGGGTTGGTAGAAGCCAGGGTAACTCAGAGTGAGCGATCCGGTGAGAACGACAAACTGGATGTACTGCAGGCAGTCGCCAAAGCCAGGCGTGACAAGACGCAGCAAGTCCTGGTCGCGCCCAAAGTTTGAGGTCCACCGCAGAACGTCAGTGGTGCCCCAGGGGCTGTACATGCTGGCCAGAACGGTAGCGAAGCCGACGAACAGCAAAATGGCAAAGGGCATCCATTTGATCAAGCCGGCCTGGTGGCCAAGATCCGGGGTGATGGTCGCAGAGACACAACCAATGTCAGTAGCGGCAACGTCACCGTAAATAATGAGGAAGGTCGCGGAGAAGGATGCAAAGGCATAGGAGGAGAAAAAGTCATGGCTGATGTTGATAGAGGGCAATTCGTAATGATTTGTCCTAGGAGGCCCAAGTGTCAGCGGCGGCGGCCCGAGGCGAGCTGCAAGCACAGCATGGTGTTCGATAGTCAATGAACTTACACATCAGTCTGGTTGAAGATGGGCGCCAGGGGACAGGAGGCGTTCACGAGCTTGTTGTTACAAAAGTCTTCACGAGCGCCAAAGGGTTGGTATGTGAGCATCTCGACCTGCGTCTTGAGCGCCGTGACCTTGGCGTTGGGTTCGTTGGGAAGCCGGACAATCTTGCCCTCGGTGTCTGTGGGATCTCCCCAGTGGGAGTCGCCCGGCGGGGGGAGGGAGACCCCAGAATGGGAGCCAGTCACATTTCCCCAAACGATGACACGAAGATTGTGGTTTTCGCTCTCAGTATCAAAGCGAGCATCGGCGTACAACGGGGTCCATTGCAGAAGACGCGGCTCGTACACTCTGTAGGAAGCGGGGAGACAATTCGAGAAAGGAATCTGAACGGCGTCGGCAGGTCGAGTTGTGAGAAGGAGGCATGCCAGGACGAGCAGCAGCGCCCGGCCGGACAGAGCGAGCGGCGGCGGCGGCACGGCGCGGAGCCACGGGCGGCTGTGCGAGATCAGAGGCATGTCGAGCGAGGGTAGGTGGGCTACTTCGCGAAGCGAGTGACGAGGTGGCCGACTTGGGGTGGAGGAGGTAGAGCGAGAGGATATCATGGCGAGCGATGATGGCGCAGAGGGGTGTTTCCCATAGCCCCCGCAGCCGGACGATGACGATGGTGTGGTTGGCAGTACCGGTGCCGATGCTGCATGGCGTTTTGGAGGAATTCGCGATGGCATAATCCGACCGGTGGACGAGAAGTGCGAGTTGTCGGCGGTGGGCGTCCCCCCGTGGGAAGCAGAGTCGGAATCGGAAACCCTCACGAATGTCTCTTAGGGCCTCGGCAACATGTTGATCTCGTGTGCGACAGACAGCTCGATAGGATCAGGAGATCGTCGTGTTGCTGAAGAACGTTTGCCTGTCGGAGACGTCGTGTCTTTGATGGCGGGAGGGACGAAGCGAATCGAGGATGGATGTTGAAACGACAAAAAAGAAACGAAAGTCAAGAGGCGCCTGTCTGCCTATGGAACCGCGTTGCACTGCAAGAATTGTCTACAGGCAAGGTCAGGTCAGGTAAGGTAAGGTCAAGTAGTGTACTGGTAGCGTCCAGAGGCACAACAACTCGACGCGGCAGAAGCTGATTGTGCAGGGGGGGGCGGGCGCAGGGGGCGCAAGGACGAGACGACGAATGCAGCTGGCGCTGGTGGGGTGACGAGTTGAGGTGAGGATGGGAAACGACGACGGTGCAATGGGAAAATGGGGCGTGGTACAGTACATGGTACGCCCGGTTGGGATTTGACCCGGACGAGACCTGTTCTCCACCACAGCTGAGCCCGCCCACCACCAGCCAGGCTGCCTGCTACATGTACATAGTACAGTAGGCCCCTTGTCCTTCCACTGCCCTGCGGCGAGGGGCCCCTACAGGTGCGTGCCAGACGTGCCTACAGGGGGTGAGCTGGTGGTGGAAGTCTGCGCTCTGCGCCTTCGTATCACCTCGTGCGATGCTCAGTCCTCAGGGAGGCTAAAAGGAGGCTGAGGTGTATGCTCTAGGCCCGACACGCGCTAGCGCTGGCATCACTGGCCTTGATTTATCATGGGCGTCGGGCGCCTTCCCACTGGCCAGTCCACACAACGCAGGCACCTCACCGTTTAAACCGCGTGGGCCTACTACCATGTACAAGCACCCACGTACGCATCGCCTACCAACGCACCCAGCGTCATGTTGACCTGAAAAAAAAACCCCGGACTGAAGAGAAGGGGTTGGTCCTGTTTCTGTGTCTCTGATCCCGTCCTTTTCTAAAATTGTCCATACAGTGCATCATTGCTCGATCAATTGCCCACCCAACCCTGACCCGTCACATATACTGTACACACGTCAGTGACACTTAAGCATTGATGAACCCCTTCTGCCCTATGACAGACCTACGTAGACCCTCCATGGAACCGAGGCCGCGGGCTGACAGGCCGACAGAGTCATAGCGCCAGACGTTAATGCCCATCATCATACCCGCATGAGCTACTCTTGACGCGACTCCGCCTCGCCCAACCTCGAGCAAGAATTCCGCCCGCTGGCACCTACTCTCCGCCCCTGCCTGAATACGAGCCACCAAACGCCCACTCCCTGTGGGGATCGACCGTGGCACCAAGATGATAATTGCCCATTCTAGTGTCGATCGGCCCTCTTCTAGTGGCCGCTATTTTAAGGAAAACTCCCCGTTTCTTACGCCGTGGCTGTTGAGGTTCCATAGGTTTGTTGGCCACCACTCACTCGGTCTTTGACGGGCGGCGCCCTGACGTCGCGCGCTCGCTAGGCAACCATCCTCACGACCCCCTATTCCAGCATCCCACGTCAATCGTCCACGGGAAAAGTCTGGCGCTCAACGTTTCAGAGCGGAAAGCCTCCAATCACTTGGTCCACACCAAACATACAAAAAGTCTGGTGACAGAAGTTCTATTGCATCATCTTTCTGCCCAGGAATCTGGCTGTCTCGACGCTGTCAAAACAGCGCATCACAAAGCCACTTTCTACAGTCCACTGAATACGTAACACACGTGCAAGCTAGTATTTCTTTACCACAGAACGGCAGCCAGCTATACGTCTCCTCTCAAGAAAGACGCACATAGCTAACTACAGATTCAACTCTAGCTGCATCTCGGTCCCATAAGCACACTGCAGCCAGTCTGCGACCACCTCTCGAAGTCTATGCTCGATGTACGCCTTCTCCGCTTGTGTTCTGGGCAGCCCAAACTCGATATCGCCCTGCGTGAGGTATGAGTCGACAGGTTCTAAATCGGTTATGTCTTGAGCCAGGGCCTCCAAGTTGAGTGCCTTTGCTTGTAGCTGCAAACTGGCCGCGTTCTCGGTCGTGGTCTCGAGTGGCAACCGATCTGATTGAAGTCTCCTCGGCGTCTTGCGACCGGATAACGCCATGGACCGTTGTCTCTTGACCAGGTACCGCCGGGGATCAGCCTCCATCATGACGCTGTTCCTAGCCCTCTGTGGCAGAGTTTGGCGTAACCCTGAACCACCTGAGTTGTGGCGAGCAACCGCATGGTTGCTCGCTCGACAGTGATAGCTGGATTCACGGCCCCTCGGCAAACTCACTCGGCGAAGCGACTGCGGAACCTCCATTCCTTGTGGTGTGTCAGTTTCCTCTCTATGATGTCCCTCGAATAGCATCTCAGTGTCGCTATTGCAACTCGTTTCACCATCTAGGATTCGCATGAAATCCCGAACGTCACGCCGGCTGTGGGTGTGTTCATGACTGAGCTCATCGTTTCGTCTGCTCTGGCTCGTATGATGCCCCCATCTCGGCGATGTGCATCCCCGCGCCTCAGAACCCCGAGTCACTTCTTGAGGGGGTTGCAACGAGTTGCTATGGCGCGTTATTGCGGGCTTCCTGGAAGACATCGTTGCCAGGGGTGTTCTCGGCAGACGATTCAGGTCAGGACGCGGTGACTTCTCAAGGTTCCCTAGGGTCAAACGTGGGCTGTCAAGATGCATCCGCTCATGATAGCTTCGAGGTTCCCTAGGGCTTGCCTCAGGCGACTGGAGATACGAAAGCTGGTTGCGATCATTCCTTTTTGTGAGTGACAAGGGCACATCGGGGTCCTGGTCAGAAGGGATACATGTACGGCGGGCCTCGGCGGCAACATCAGTCTTGCTCCCGTTGGCCGATTGGATCAAACTGTACGGGGAATGGCACCGGTTCGACACAGGGTCGATCCTGCCCACGCCCAAGTCCTGTTGAAGCAGGGGGCTCACGTATCCTTTGTCTGTAGCGAGGTTGTGTATGGCCGGCGCCTCCACCCTCGTACCGTTTCTTGTCCCTGACATAGCCTGGGATAGGCGACCTTCGTTATCGTGAACATCACACACTGCTCGTTCTGCTGGAAAACATGTCGCCGCGGCTTTTGCAATGGTCCAGGGTGTTCTTAGACCAATGTTCGGAAAATTGGCGGTAGAGCCTTGTGTTTGACTGTCTTCGTCGTCCCAGGAGCTCAGTGTAAGCATGCTATGCTTCCCTTCACCGCTCAATGTGCGAGTCCTCGCTGTGTTAACCTGTGTATATCGGAGGGGAATTTGGCATGCCCTGTGGTTATTGCTGATCGTGCGTGAGTTTTGTTCCCTGGCTGGGTTTTCGTCTTCAAAGGCGGGATCAGTTCCGGAAACTACTGGCACAGAAGCCCTCGAATTCATGTTAAGCTCGACGAAATTCGAGTCCAGGCTCTTACCATCATCAATGACAACAGCAGCACCAGAACAGCCCTTGGGCAGGGTACCTGAGGCATTCGGGAGTGTGCTGTCCACAGCTTGCTGGAGCCTTTCGTGGTCCTCGAGATCCATCTCGTATTCGTCCGCAAGGAGGGAACTTTCAGGGGTCCGCAGGTTATTGTAGCTTGCACCAAGCCTTTCCCTCGTATTCTTTTGTGACAGAACCAGCATCGGTGAGTAGCGCGAACATTCTGTTTGGTTCGGCGATTTGTTGTCTCTTGAATCTTCGTGAGGGGTGTACAAATCGAGGCACAAATTGTTGATGAGGTCGAGGACCGTCTGCTCGCTCATGAAAGCCACTTCATCTTTGGCAGGCGAGATGTTGAGGTCGTAGATTCCTGCCGCACATTTTATATCTACGTATAGGAACAAATCTTTTGTCGTGCAGTTGCTCGCCGTTTGGAAGAAATTGTTGATGATCTTGACTAACTTTTTAAAAATGCCCCTATCTCTACCCATTGGTCGGGAGTCGACAGAGACGTAGGCGCCTTTGCCAGCTATATTTGCATGATCTGCATCAAGTTTCGGCACAAGTGCTCGAATAGTAATGCTATCGAGACCGGACTCGTTATTCTCTCTCTTATTGGGAGGCACGGTTGTTGATGCTGTCGAGTCCAGTAGCTCTGTCGAGATGGTCCTCTCAACGTACTGGTTAGCCAAGCTCACGCCAAACATCTGGAGTGCAGCTTCCCGCGGATTGGGCCTCTCGCGGGGTGCATACGACCATGCAGACTTCTCGTCACCAAGGACCTTGAATGTTAGTTTTGTCTCTGGTCTTGCCAGGGCGTAAGCCTGCAGTAGGGTCTTGATGCTGGCGATCGACTTTGGGGCTTCTTTGAAGAACACCTTTCGACGGACAGGAAAATCGCTGTATAAATTGTTCAGCTCGACCGTAGTACCCACGGGGGCCGAAACAGTCTTGGGTACTGCGGAATCGGCCGAGGAGGAGCCCAATATGAAGGAGCTTGCGACCTTGTCTTGTGCTGTTCTCGTGGTGATGATGACTTGGGAGACGCAGGCTGCACTTGACAATGCGTTTCCTCGAAAGCCCAAAGTCTGGCCACCTTTGAATCGCAGTTCCTCGAAAGTCCGGAGCTTGCTTGTATGGCCAGGGCGGCCCACACACTTGATATCTTCTGGTGCTATGCCGTGGCCATTGTCACGGACTTGAATTTTACCGAGGGTATTGGCAGATATGAGCACTTCGACCGCAGTGGCCCCTGCATCAAGTGCGTTATCAAGTAGTTCTTTGACAGCGGAAGAGGGAGAAACCAGAACGAGCGTGGCACACAGTTGACGGGTGGCGGCGTCGGGGAGACGGGTGATAGACATGGTGAGTGTGCCGGCAGCGCACGGCCAGTGGTAGTGATATGACTCGGACCGGCTTCTAGATGAACATAAGACTTTGACAAGACTAACACAACATCATGCCGATGGTGTTGTGTGTGGGATGAGGCAGCAAGATTATTTTTGCAAGACATGGTAAAGGCAACCAAGGCGAAGGTGCCTCATGCCTCATTAATGTATTGATGAGACCTGGAAGGAAAGAGCTCCCACGACGCTTCTCTTTCCCAAACATGCTCTGAACACATGTGAGAATGGACCTTGGGTGCACCTACCCGCTCCTTGTGTCGGACCCGAAGCCAAGTGCGACTTACCCTGGCGGCTTTTCACAGCTGACGCCATCTGCAGTTGACTCAGTACCCCGCGGCACACCAAACCCCAACGAGTCCCCGAGCTATTGCCCCGCGTCGATGCACAACACTTACCAACCAAGCTCTCGATCATCTCAACCTGAGCGCTTCCCAGCTGCATCACTCTTCTCTCTACCAGTACCACCACCACCGCCGCCGCCCCCCTCCCCCCCACAACGCCATGTCGATCAAGGGCCCGACCCCCCAGGAGCACGAGGGCAGCGCGCTGCGCATCGGCATCGTCCACGCCCGCTGGAACGCCTCGATCATCGAGCCCCTTGTGAAGGGCGCCAAGGACAAGCTCCTCGGCTGCGGCGTCAAAGAGTCCAACATTGTCATCCAGTCTGTGCCCGGGTCCTGGGAGCTCCCCATCGCCGTGCAAAGGTGCGTGTCTTCCTTCTGTTGGTGCTGCTTCGCTCCTGTTCTCGTACCCTCCACCCCGCTTCTGCCGGCGATGCCGCGCGCCATCGGCCTCCTACCTCCCCTCCGAACCGTTATTATCTCCATCGAAGAGGAAGCAAGGGGAAAAACAAGAAGCCAGGCTGACAAGCAGCCACCAGACTCTTCGCCGCCTCCCAAGTCCAGTCCTCGACCTCAGGCGCCGGCTCGGCCGGCGACCTCCTCGCCTCCTCGACCACGGACCTGACCTCCCTCTCGGCCTCGACCGACGGCGCCTCGGGCGGGCCCTTTGACGCCATCATCGCCATTGGCGTGCTCATCAAGGGCGAGACGATGCACTTTGAGTACATTGCCGACGCCGCCGTCCACGGCCTCATGCGCGTACAGCTCGACACGGGCGTCCCCGTCATCCTCGGCATCCTCACCGTTCTCAACGACGAGCAGGCCAAGGCCCGCGCCGGCCTGACGCCGGACGGCCACAACCACGGCGACGACTGGGGCCTCGCGGCCGTCGAGCTGGGCGTCAAGCGCAAGGCGTGGGCCTCGGGCAAGATTGAGTAGACTACACATCGCACACGAGGATGAAGGGCGGGTTGTGGTTGGAAAGAGGTGTGGTTGTTGGAACATGACCCGGACGAGCCGTTGCGCCCAGGCGGTCAACAACAACAACAACGACCATGATGTGAGGGATAAATCTTGACACTAGTTCAAAAGGATATTGCGAAAGAATAAATAAAAAAAAAACCCCCCATGCAAGAAAGCTCGAACCCGCAGTATACATCGAATTGATGGTATCTGAACATTAGGTGAATTACTGCGTGGAAGATGCGTCTATCTATCATGACCAAATCTTTTTCCCACTGACATCTCACTTCTTCGGATTTTGTCTTCACCAGCGTCCGTCACCAGCCCAGGAGAGATCCAACAGCTTCAATCAGCCGTCAATTCCTTATCCAATAAATCCCAATACACGTACAGGTCCTGTGGGAGCAGGTGGCGGCTGCTACCGATTGCCCTCCGGATGAGATATTCCTTGGCCGCTTCTTGCCCCCGCTGACACTCTTTCCCCTCCAAAGTCAAAAGAAGACCCGCAAAATAAACAACCCGCTCCGCTATTGATATAATATGCCGACACATCTGAGAGGAGATTCTCACGAGATGAAGGCGCCGAGTTCGCTGCCCATCGACTTCTTCGACCGCCACATGGAGCGCTTCTTCTCACGCTTGGCCTTCATGGCCTCCCAGCCCTCGTCGTCATCATCGTCATCCTCCACCTTGCGGAGCGTGCTCGTCTGCGGCAGCGGCGGCGAGGGCGTCTTTCCCTGCAGCGCCTTCATCGTGGTCTGATCCCATCCGCTGATGGCGCCGGACATGGTCGACGTGCGGGCGGGGTTCGATTGGAAGTCGTATACGGAGCCCTGACTCTGGCCGTGAGCGGGAACTTGCGGGGCATGTGAGACGGGCCTGTAGCGGCCGGGTAAGCCGATGTTGCTGCGCTCCGAGGGGGCGATCGAGGGAGCATACCCTGCGCCTTGCGCGTGGATCGACGGCGCATAGCCGCCGGCGCCAGGCTGAATCCACGAGTCGGAGCTGGGCTGCACCATGCTCATTGTTCGCATGCGGGGGTCGAGCCCCATTTGAGGTGGTTCCATCATCATTGGTGACATGCCATCGCCCACAAAGGACTGGCGAGAGCCGCCCATTTCCGAAGGCGTAGGCATGTGGCTCATGGGGCGGCCGCCATTCGCTTGGTTGCTGGCCATCATCTGCATGAACTGCATCTGCATCTGCATGAACTGCTGCATCTGCTGGGTCATGTGGACCTGGGCCTGCTCGCCAACTGAGATTTGCTGAGGCATCTGTGGCATGCCATACATCATCTGAGGGGGGATACCTGCTAGAGGGTCAAATCCGCCTCCAGGGAATCCGTTCTGCTGGCCTCCGGCGAAGTGGTGCGCATCCACATGCGGGCTACCACGTCGCATGGCGCGAGAACGCTCTTCGCTGGCAATCACGCCAACAAGTCCTCCAGGCGGCAGAGCTCCGGGCGATTGGGGCGCCGGCGCGCCTCCCGAGAAGTTCATCGACTCGCGAGGTGGTCCGTTGACAAGACCGGCACCCACAAACGGGTCCTGGGGGAGCTTTCTGGCAAAGGCGGGCAGGTGACCTCCCTTGCGGGCGGCAGAAGGATCGCCCATGCTGGAGCCTGGCCTGCCTTGTTGGGGCATTTGCATCATGGACGCACGAATATCTGGGTTCGATGCCATGTGGCTCATACGGCTGGGAGCCCTGGCTTTGCTGGGAAACCCATGGGCAGCGAGGATGGCCAGCGGGACCTCCTCATCCTCATCCTCGTCAGAGGTCCCAGGGGTGTGTCCTAGTGGCGGAGCGAGGCTGCCCAGGTTTGGCGTACTCAGCGAGGTGCTGATGTTAGGGCGCGAAGGCAGGGGGTTAGCGGCTTCACCTGTGACCTTCATCATCTGTTGCCGGTAGACAGTCATGTGAGCCTCTTGCTTCCTGCGTTGCTTCGCGGCTTGTTTCGCCTTCTCGATATCGTCCTCGTCGTCCTCGTAATTATCCTCGTCGTCGTCCTGCTGTTCCACCGGCGACTTACTGACAGGGCCTCCGCTGTTCTGTCGTTCCTTGTCTTGCCTATACTTTTCGAATTGAGCGGGCGTCATGACCTTATTACGTGGGGGGCTGGGGGCTCGAGAGATGTAGCGGCTGGCGACACGTGAAGAGTGTGCCAGGCTTCCCTCGAACATGTTGTCTTCACCCGCCTTCTTCTCTGGCGCAGAATTCCTCCAGCTCGAGGTGCTTTCAGGTTGTCTGTAGTTTCTCGGTTGCTGCGAAGACGGCGCAGCAAGGTTGGGACTGGTGCCAAGGAAGCGGCTGGCGGCCATTGAGTCCTTGAGCAGGTTGGCATCCTCATCCTCGATGATGTCCGACGGCCTCTTTGTCGGCGCGTAGCTGTGGGGAGAATGATGGCGAGGTACTGGCGGCGGCACTTGGTCGAAGAGGGGAGAGCCCTGAGTAGAGTTGGCGTTGAGGAGGTTGTCGTTGGAGTGTTGGCTGCTCCAAGAGTAAGGCGAAGCCTCGACCTTGGCCGTCTTGTCAATCTGAATGGGAGCCGGCACCAACTGGCTGGCACGGTTCTGGTTCTGTGAATGATGGTTGCCGCTCTGAGCGATCTTGTGAGCATCGTCTTGTGACATGGCTCGTAGGGTCATGGCGCTGTTTCGTTTGAATTTATTGTCGAACATCTGCCCAAAGTCGCTGCCCATGTCAAGAGAAAAATCTTGGTCTTCGTGTATTCTGGGAGGGGTCGCTGTGCTGGAAGTGGATGAAGTCAATCCCCGGGGGCGGCCGCTCAGTCCATCGTGCTCTTGATTTGGTGGAACGGGCAGCGGGTGATCATCAACGGAAGGGACGGGGGGCAGGTTCTTCTTCTGACCGCCAAACGAGAACGTCCGGCCTGCTCGATCGAGAAAGCCTCGTGAGCCGGACTTGGGAGGAGCTGGGCCAGCCATGTCGCCTTGTGACTTTTTAGATGCACCTTTCCATTCTTCGTGATGGCCTTGTTGAGCGAAGTCGGCTGAAGAGGGTGCAGTAGAAACGTTACTATGGCGCGACGATGCGTCCGTCGAAGCTGTTTTGGTCGTATTGGATGACCCACTGCCCCTTAAGCTGAGTCAGTCTAAAAAAGCCAGGCAATAAGAACATCCCTGTCAGGATGGCGGACAGGGGGGGACACGATCTGGCCGAGACACACATGCCGTCAAGGTTTGTTCGGTGTAGTTAAATCTGGCCAGGGAGGACAGACGTCTCTGGACAAGGAATGGAATGACGCAGCGGGTACTGGAGGAGACAAAAAAAGAAAGCCAGCAACATACCGGTTCGATGGTTTGAGGTCAGCAAACATATTGTCCTCGACGGAGCTCTGCGACAAGTTCGGCTTCTGATAAACCATGCTGGTCGTCGCCCGGCCCATGCCCATCCTCACACCACCGTCAAACGACTTGCCCGCTGCCACATCTGTTCTTTCGAGCACTCGGAATGACGATGGTTCGTTGGAGGCCACTTCGACATTCTGGAAAACGTCTTCGGCGGCGGCGGACTTCCGCCTACCGAAACCGACGGAGAATCTAGGCATGAAGAATGATGTTCCACGTCAATCCTATACGGATCAGTAGGAGACAAGAATTGTGCGGTCGAGCTGCAAAATCGCGTGGCGAGGTG